ACGTTGGATTATAAGACTTTGGCTACATCTCCCACATTTGCATGCAGGCATTACATTTGCAAGGTTTTCTCAGAAAAATGGAGCAGGCGCATAAAATGCATAAAGGTTATATGATTATAACATGGAAGCAGCATGTCAGTTACAGAAATTTGTACCACATGTACCAGTAACAAACCCACACCCCCATGTAAAACTTCCTTGTCCCTCAAAAATCCAACTGCTTCCTCTGTCCCTCATCTCCATGCCCCGGCTGTCTATCAGCCCACATCCCCGCTGTTTCTGAAAACACACATCTTTTTCTAAAAAAAGAGTTTAGTACAGTACATTTTTTCCCTTAAAAATGAAAACATTTCTCCTTCACTACCCCCTCCCCCCCAAATGAAAAATCTATCATAATCTACACATCTGTTCAAGCACTGTTATATGTTAGGAATCTCTATTGCATTATTCAAAAGTATCAGATCAGTAACAAACTTCTAAACAAACTAGGATGACCCAAAAATTCCCCTTCCCCCAAAACTACAGAGAACTGAAAATGCTACACTGCATTATCACACTTGCATGCATGTATCCTGAGCCACCTGTATTTATTCACCTTAAGCCCCTTTTAATAAATAACTGTCCAGCAGTAACATCCAGAAGTGTGCTGTCTCCTCCAAATTAAACTCTATATTTACAGAAGTAGGGCTGTTTTCTCAGTGAAATGTGTTTTTTTAAAAAACAAAACAAAACAACAACAATAAAAACAGCAAACGATTAAAGAGAGAAAGCATATTACTGATCATGTTGTCTAAAGACCAACAGGAGTAAAAAGCATTAGGAGCACCAGGTGCACATGCATTTGAACTGGTACAGTTCATGAAATAATGTCGTTCATTGTTATGCTTGCTCATTCAGATGAGGAGCAGATTCTTTTCTTTTTTTTCCTTTTTACATTTAGGACCGTCTGCTCTGCAGGCTACTCCCACAGATGGCAATACATGCACTGAGGTTGAAAGATGGCCATAAATATGCTTTGATCAATGTGGTTCTGTATCAGCTTTAAACACATGGGGTTGCCCTCCCCGCTGCTTTGCGCCTTGTGTCATTTCACATCTGTCCTAAGGTCCCCCAAATCCACACTTTTCTCTTGGATTTGGGGAAGCATTAGACACTTCACTTTTTGCAAGTTTCAAATGATGCTATATGCTGGAAAATACAGGGGGATCATCCCACATGAGAACATTTCTTAGCAGTGTAACAACTGTAATCACAACTGACATACAAGCATACCGAAACAAACATTGAAATACCAAGCAAGTTAGAGGGACTTTGTCCCTTCATTTATTTGGAGCCAGCTCTCAGCTGATAGACACCAGTATTACTGCCTTGATTTCAGTTGGCCTGTGTTGATTTACACCGGGTAAGGATCAAGCTCAACAGACGGTAAAACAGCAGTTTCTGCTACTGCATTGTTGTAGTGCCTGAGATCACTGCAAATGAGTACATTTCTACACAACCAAAAGGCCCTTCTGTAGCCAGTGCAGCATATTCACTGCCCCACCTTTGCAAAGGCAATTCAGTACAGGTTCACTTCCTCTTCTTCCCACTTTACTGACAAACTAAACCCACAGCACTCCCATCATAGAAGCTGCAGCCAAAACTTGAGTTACACACTAAATGCTTAGTTTTATATAGTGAAAATGCTGGGAACTCCATTTATGCTGAATCTAGTTTTTATTATTCAAAAAGCACTTTTGAATAAGTGCTTCCTGCTTTATCATATACGGATCTGATGACCTGGAAGCCCAGACCACTCCTATCCTTGCTGCACTTGCAAGTTATGCAGAAATTGTTACTATCTGTTACCTCTGCAAGACTGGCTATTCCAGCAAAGAAGAATATTCCCTTCAATTGCAAGCAACAGGCACATTGGATGTGTGATTGTGAGAAGCCCTCCCTAGGCCAACACCTCCATTCTCACTGGAAGTGAGGCAAATTCTACCAACATTAACATCAATGCAAACCTGCAACAACTCTACTGACCCCTCTCAAGATCTGTACAGGTGCAAGACAATACAAAATCTGGCTCCCAGGCTTCTTCATTAGCTAAAGTTTACTCCTGACCCATCAATTCAACTTTATTAGCAGATACTAGTTCTGTAAGCAAGTTTTCCCTTTTATTATTACATCATTTATGAGCTCCACCATTGTTTCAATCTCATCACCGCCTACTGATAAGAAACTTGGCATCTACAGAGCACTGGTCTGCCCGACTCCCACAAGCAGCTAAACCTCAAATGCCATGCTTTGTCCTGGCAGGGGAATCAGTTTCACTACCCTCTGCCATTTCAATTCCTGGTTAGCATTTGTTGGCTAATTATTCTTAGACAGTCAACATGAGAAGCTGTTAGGTTCAACTGTATGTATGCATTACAACTGGTCTTAGACCCAGTAAGTTTATTTCACATGGGCTTCCATACAACCAAAATAATGTCAGCCAGTGATCTCTGCTTGTAAAGCACCTTCCCCCACATCCGGTTCCTTTCTCTGGTGTCAAAAGCAGAGCTTCACCAGAACTGCAGTGGAAAATGGGAAATGTTTTAGTTTCACCTTTCAACTGAAAGGAACGGAGATAAGTAAGTGATGACTGTGTGTCGCACTGGTTGCAAAAGGCCTTTCCATTCATAGGAGTGCTACTCTCCGAGTAATTTTTTTAAAGGAAGAGAAACCAAACAAAAACCTACACAGTTCCCACACACAAACACAGACACACGCACACACATACACACACACTTCTCTCTCCTCCAAACAGAAATCCATTCTTATGGACCAAATTATGCAGACCCTATTCAAGTGACTAAAAAGAATGAGGATAGGGTTGAGTGCATCCCAATTCTCCTTTCTGATCACAATGAAGTCACAGGTCAGCAAACTACTTGGGCATAAGGATGTTCCTCTTGACCTGCAGGACATCTTAATGCATGCAGAAGTGCTTTGCTGGCTCAGGCCTAAATTAGGAAGAGCTCCAAGGCCAGCTGGCACCCATGAGTGTGATTCCACTACCTGCACCAATATACATGAGGTAAGAGCATAACTCAAGAGAGCAGAGCAGTGCAAGAGGAGAAAGAGGCTCTGTGGTTCTTCTGAGTTTATCTTTGACAGCCTCAGCTGCATACACACGGCATGTCACAGTGATCAGCATAGACCGATGAGAGCTTGGTATGGTGTTCTGCAAGCGGGACTTCCACTAGAAATAGTAAGCCTGATTTCTCTTTGTACCAGTGCAACTTTATATGCCTATAAGAACTGCATGAAGAGGCCTTAAATCTGGAGTAACTGCACGATACAGTTAGTGTTTTATCTTGGACTTATGTGCCAATAACTACTGTGATGTGCTACGCTACACACCCACACCTACACACAGATGGAGAGATAGGTATATGCTGTGTCATAATGCAACATAAATATTACTTCTACAACTATCCTAATAACACAGCCAGTGTCAAAGCAAACCAGCATAGGGATTTTCAGCCACCCTCTGCAATACAATAGGATAGGCAGTAGTGGAGAAAAAGCAAGCTCAGGTGTTATTTTGATTCACTAGGGAATGATCTGGGCACAACCCACTCAGGTATTGCTTAGTGAATATTATTCATGGGCTGTCCCACAGTCCCGCGTCATAAATTCCCACCTCTGTGTGGGTGCTCACATCACTTTCTGATGACACACAGAATTGAGGTCATGGGCAAGCAGTCACAATGTTTGGGAAATCCTCTAGCCAAACATCGTACGAAACAGGGATAAAAGCTCATACTGACACATCATGCCATGCCTCTCAACCACAGGTAGACTGCAAGGTTACACATTAGTGGGATCTGGGCTATCTAAAGAAAGAGCTACTCATAGAGGAATTCATGTTTGAATCACAAGAGGATCTGGTTCTGCTTGGCAGTTAAGATCAAAAGGAAATGTATCTAATTAAATAGCAATGGAATCAGTCCCTCAATGCTGCTGATATAAATAACACATGGTGTTTGCATATTACAGTGTTGTCTCACAAAGGGAGTTCGTTACCTGGTGTGCAATAAACCAATTCACCCACTGAGTCAAGATACCGATTTTATTTCATTTTTGTGCAGAGATGGGGCTCCCTTTGTGAGACAACAGCAGCATTCATGCTCAAATTGTATGTATATTTGCTCCATTTTGGACCATGTTTTCTGTAAATGAAAACTAAACACCTAGCCGAAACGTTTTTCTCAAAATTCCTCTGAACTTTGGACAAATCTGAACCCAGGTCTTGTTCAAGATTTGGATTTCTGGAACCAATATCTGGCCTTCAGTGGCTATCCTATGCAACCAAGTCTAAACATCTGCAGAGATTGCAGGCTCAAAACTGATTTTCTTAGGAGAAAAAGATGCCTCTCTTCTATGCTAGATTACTGTTGCTAGATTATCGGCACATAGTCTCATCTTACCTCATTATTGTTATAGCCTTCTTATAAACTTTCATGGAAATTCCACCTGCAGAACCAAAGGCAGAAAGTTATCTTTGCAATTATTGTTCCATATTAACATCTGGATGCAGTACCGTTGGGGAAAAGAAAGCAAATTCCTCAATGAACTATGTTTAAACAACTTGTAGGTGGTGGCTATCAAAACAACTGATGCACGTGTACCAGCTAAAGTTATTAATGAATGATCTGACATACAAATCAGACAAATGTCATATGTAAATAGATCTTCAAATGTATACATACAAAAGCTGCTACTGTATCTAGATGATCAGTTTGGTTTGTTTCTATACCCCATAGCTCTGAATCTATCCACTGAATGTTTACTCAGCACGTGTGGTATAAATATATTCATACACTAGGCAATTTTTCTTTTTTTTTTTCTTTCTTCTTTTTTTGCTGACCAGCAACAAATTCTGATATCTTTAACTGTAAACCAATACTCAATAAATATGCCGTGTTCAGCAAAGAGACATGTTTTGTCAATCAGGGTTTTGCTGCACTCTAAGCCATGGGCTGCGGGGGTGGGCGTGAAGGAGGAGGTCCAGGAGGAGCTCGGGATGGTGGTGGTCCAGGAGGTGGCTGCCTGGAAGGGGGCTGCAGAGACACAGGAGGAGAAGGATTCCTTGGAGCATTGTTGAGAGGAACATCGTCACGCCGTGGCAGCTTTGGTGGTGGGCTATAAGGGGCAGAGGTTCCATCCGATTTCACCCGTGTGAAGTTTATGCATCGTCCCTAGAGGTAAAGAAAAATCATTATTCACAGAAAGCAGGTGTTTTGACTCATCAGCGGCTAGCCAAAGGAACTATAAGCAGAGGGGCCAGGCTGCACTTAGAGGTCTTCATCCAGTATCATTCACTAGGTCCTAGACATGACATTCAGACCATGCTGTACTGAAGGTCAGCACTAGAAAGCAACGCTTTCCTTGGGTTTCAGAGCTCCTGCCTACAGACAAGAGCCTAGGACTGGTTTAAACCAAAAGGGAACGCAGTGTGACTTTGCTCACACGTGCCCTCTGCTCTGCTACTACAGCTACGCAGAGCATGCCTAAAGCCACAGCTCTACCAAAGTCAGGCCTGCTTTGGTGAGATCCCTGACTGTCAAAGCTGTGCTTGAAAAAAAGCCACTCAGCAGAGACAGGATTATACCAGAGGAACAACCTTAGTAAAGACAGCATCTGTAGCTTTCCTTTTCACCATGATGCTAGCCTAGCTAGTGTCCATGCTTTGAACACTACACTAGGATAATACATCTGTCTTCTGTGTTCCAAATGTAGATGTGGCTTCCCTCAAACACCAACAAGGTGTGGGACTTGCACAAAGGGTTCTCCAGTGAGAGAAATGAAATCCTGCAGACACAACCTCGTGTGAGGAGATGCAACACTTGGCATCAGTGTCTCCACCTCCTCACCTAGGGAGGTGGGAGGGGGTGCTTATGCAAGAACCCAGCTGCCACAAGCTTGGCAGAAGCCTGCGCCTGGAAGTCAAAAAGGCCTCTCATCATCATGTACAAAGGCTGGAGATGAAGACTGCCTGAAAATGCAGGAGTGACACTGCCAACAACCCATTTACAGGAGCTGGGATGTGGTTTCCAAATAAGGAACTGTGGGCTGGAAAGTACCCATCCCAGCAGTGATGAACGCCATTTGCCAGCACCTTTTCCTTTGCACAGCAGGCCTGGTTTGTTCCATGTAGCGGTCTTTCTAATGCAAATGACCTCTACAGTTTAGCACAGAGTTTTATGTTACCTGTTTCTCTCTTTCCAAGGCAAACACTAGCTAGGGGAAAAGGAAAAAACCTGTTTGGTTTCTTTAGAAAATATCTGCCCCAGAAGGCATCTTATCTTCCCTCCATTGTTTTAAAAGACCCACAGAGCCACAATGCCTGGCCAGAGGTTTAGCTGTACCCTGGGAATCAACAAATCAATTTCAGCTCAAGGTTATGCCAACATCCCTCAAGCAAAATTCAGGAGGACTCCAGATTTAGAAAAACTTTTCTCAGAGCTAAGCAGCTGTAGATCGTGATCCCCACAGCTACCAATGGCTGTGTTAACAGGGGAATACAAGAACCCACAGCAGTGAGAGATCGCTGCTAGCTTAGCGCTGCCTGGCATAAGGAAACTATGAAGGTGTTTAGGGAATGGGCTGAGTTTCTGTGGCAACCCCACAAATCACAGTTTCCCCTGGAATCCAGGCAAAAGCCATCACAGCTGAACCACAACTGTTTAGGTGACTTCCAATGCCTGCACCTTTGTTCATGAAAACTATTCCACTAAAAAGAAGAGAATCACTTAAGTCTATGGCTTCTCTGAAGAAAATCAAGCAGAGTATCAAGAGAAGCTTGTGTAGGCTCCAGAAAGCTCAGAAAAATTATTCAACACGTACTAACGCCCAAAGGGTACCACCCTGCCTCTTACTTGGATTGGATGGCTCAGGGCTTCAAGAGCTCAGCTGCAGCCAAGAGTTGTTTGAATGGGCGCGGTGTTGCCTGTACGTGAGACATACTCAGTAGTTCTCAGTCCCAGATTTCACCATCACAAATTCACCACTACACTTAAACAACAGCCTCAATAAGTAGAATAAAATCCTCTTTCTAAAACAGCAGGCTTGTCACAGCAGGCTTTGGTTATAAACCAGGTTCAAGGCAATACTATTCTAGGGCCAGAGCCTCTGCATGAAGGTATCAAAGGGCGAACGCCACGGTCTTGGTTACTTCTGCAACAAAGATAAACCACTGGATAAAAAAACCCAAGTCAGAGCTTTGCTCTACTCCATCAGAGAACTCAAGTCCTCACCAGCATTGCAGCGAGCAGCCACCCTTGTCAATTTACAACAGCCATTTGTATTCTGCTGTACTCTGTTGTATTAAGAGCATGCTTGGAAATTCAGCAATATTTACTGCTATGCAGTGAATGCTACAGATATGTTTGACAGCTGTACTGCAAATACATTTAAGAAAATTCAGCCTTGATATTTATAAAGTTATGAATTTAGAACAGCTAAATAATCACCCAGAAAAAAAAAAAATAAAAAAAGTCAGAGGTATTCAGTGAGACACAACATATGTGGAGGGAAAAAATTAAGAAAGAATAATGTCCCTCGTAGTAAATGCAAAGCTGCAAACCCAACACTAGTGCTTTTGCCTACAAGCCTTTCCTGCCTCTCTGTTGTGTCTCTCTCCCAAACATCAATTCCAAATATATTCATAGTCTATAATCAAAGGGGATCCCATAAATCTCTTCGCATTACTTTCACTTCAGTTAAAGTGATAGGCGACGTCAAACTGCTGCCAGTTTCTGCCACACTCACTGATTTGTCAGACAGATGGGTAATTTAAAGGCCATGCGCCGCATTGTGTCATGAAAAATACGTTTGGGTTGGGAGAGTCTGACAGATAGAGGCTTGGATGATCGATGTATGTATTGTGACACTTCCTAACAAAAGATTATTGGTGTTAGCCTACAATCTCATATATCAAAGACTTGTGAATACTGGAGCAAATCCTCCTGAGCACTTCAAGCAGCCATTGATAAAATGAGGCCAAACTCTTAGCCAGTGTTAGGATTAACAGCTGAAAGGGAAAGGGAGGAACAAATGATAATAAATCCTAAGTCATAGTTTGGACATATCAACTGTAGTTCATCAAAGGATTTCTAGGTTGAAGAATTAAGCCCTCCACTCATCACACTTTCCTAGTAACAGAGTGCCACATCTATTCTACCTAACATGCACATCCCTCTGGGGTTAGTTTACAAAAAAAAATCCATGGTGTTTCTCAAATAAACATGCTAACCACAGGATTTTTAATATTCTGTGTTTGAAAGGATTAAGTAATTCCCTCTCCAAAGGCATATAAAGGCTTTTAAACCATAGAGAACACAAACAGAAATCGGGTATCCTGCACACTCACCTATGCTCTCCCTGCACAGGGATTAACAGGGATTAAGAGCCACTGCCACTTTAGTAGTGGTAACAGTATTTTTTTTTCCAGAAGCATGGTATACACAAAGTTCTTTAGGGAAGGCGTTAGAGTTGCAAGATGCAGTAACACCATGATGATCTCAGGCACAACAGCTGGCACTAGCTGCTTTCTTGTTTTCTAGGAAGCAGACGATCTGTGTAAATCCAGTTCTGTCTGGTTTCAGCCCTGCTCCCAGTACAGCATCTCTCGGATGGTGCGACCGGCACTGCGTACTGTCATTCAGGCACCAACTGAAGGTCAGCAATGCGCCATATGGAGTTACGCCCTTACTTCATCTCACATCTGCACAGTCTTCCTAATGCACAATTATTTTGCCTCCCCATATGTCCATCCACTTGTTAGGCTCTTGTTATGCTGCTTGCCAAATTGGCTCTTCAAAAAGTACAAATACTGAAGCAGCGGGATCTGCCCTTGTCCCGACTCCAGCTTTTATCCCAGTGTAACAATCACATGTGCAATTCAGGCACTTTGTACTTCTAGGCAATGCGCGTCCTCGACCACCTAGGATGTGTTTTTGTGTGTGGTTTAAGGGGGGGAAGGAAGGGAGGAACCTCTTGAAAGCCACTGCATCTCGTTTCTGGGCTACTTTCATCACAGTGCTCAGTACATCATTCCCCAGCACTTGTTCCCCCAAAATCTTTAGCTACTACTCAGCAAGTTTTCAATGGAAAGGAACAACTGTTAAAAGGATCCAGGCAATTTAAAGAGTGCCGTGGTCAAGTCTCTTCACCCATGATACTAAGAGCACTTCAGCAAAAAGAATTTAAAAAATCTGCCCCATCTGCCAGTAGCTGTGCCTTTTCTCTGTCCATTTTAATACATGCATCGGTGTTTATTTAACAAAAATCCAGTTCATCTCTGTACATACCAGAGTATTTGTGTACACAAAAGTATGTCTGTTTCTTATTTTTAGCTGCATTAGTTGACCTAATAAAAGATATCCTTCCTGTTACAAATTTTGCTTGAGTTTTCATTCACTCTTGGTTTTGCTTATGGAGTCTCAGTGCTGCAATTCTGACTAGCAGAGGCAGGTACCTGACTGAGGAAGAGTTGGCTTCGCTTAAAAGTTTACTGAAATTTCTTGGTCTGTGTAAGAATATGATACTTGGCTTTACATTTTAGAATGGATTAAAATAAAATCATTCTTTTAAAGTTTGAGCATAGCAATCCAAAACATGGGACCACCAAATTAAAAAAATAAAGTAGCTCCTAGTCAAAAGTATTACACTGAGGATGCTGAAATCTGAAACAAACATAATTTCCTTGTGCTCAAATGAGTAGTCACCTTTCTCCCCAATTTTGTTTACATGTCACTAGGATGACTCTGCCAGCTTGCTATGGACATGGTTTGCCAGCATCCTAAATATCTATCGATAGTTCAGTGTAAAAGTGGAGCTCTAAAACTCAAAAGAATGATTCAGGTTTTATGCTACCTACAAAACCACAAAAGCAAGCATCTACAAGAAGTCAGAATCACTTTAGCTAAGTGAAGGTTTTGATCCACACACCCAGAAACCATAGGGATGGATACCATTAAGATCAGTAACTTTTGCAAAAACTGAATCTTGGAAAAATTAGAGGACAGCGTAACCCCTGTCCTCTAATAAAGAACAAAACTGTTCTAGCAGAAACACCTACACCGCATATCCTAAAATAGCAACACTATGGGAAACTTGTTTAGCAAATGAGGTAGATTATGGATACAGTAATTTTACAGCGAAAGAGCTGAACCAAGGCGATACAGAGAGCCCACTA